CGACGAAGACGAAGTCAATCAAGTGACAGCCGTAAGAAGATTTCAACTAGTAGAAAATAGTGAAGTAAGACTGAACATTGGTGAAGAACCATTAAGAAATAAAAACGAACAAGACAAATCACGTGTTCAAGTATCACCTGAATCCAAAGATCAGCTGAAATTATTCAAATCAGTTGCGTTACGAAAACTGACATTAGAGAACGTGGATTTACTCAACTTTGGGTCAGAACTTCTACCGGAAGAAAAACAATACATAAAAACCCGGTTAATAAATGAAGTATCAAAAACATTCGCATTCAACTTATCCGAATTGGGGCGTACTGATTTAGTAGAATACGAAGTTAGGACGGGTGGTGTGGAAATACCACAGATGAGATTAAGGCCAATTAGGATTAACAATCCAGAGAAGGCCCAATTATTTGAAGAACATTTGAAGGAGATGATAAAATATGGGTTGTTGGAGGAAGGAAACGGGCCATATGCATACTATTGTTTCCCGGTGGACAAAAAGGAAGGTGGTACCAATCGAATACATGCAGTAGGCAATATGATACCATTAAACAAACATATAGTTAAGGACAGTTACCCGCTACCAATCATATGAGATATACTCGAAAAAGCGGCGGGTCATGAATAGTATTCAAGTGTGGATGCATTCAAAGGATACTGGCAGATACGAATCCAAGAAGAAGATCGTGATAAGGTGGCTGTTTCGACGACGTTGGGAGTATTACGGTACACTGTTATGTGTATGGGGTTGAAAAATGCCAGTGAAACCTTTCAGAGGTTAATGGATTTGGTTCTAAAAGGTGAAAAGTGGAAGAGGTTATCTGCAGCATATCAAGATGACGTTGGGTTATGGACGGATAGCGACTTAGAGGATCATGTAGATACATTTATAGAATTAGCCAAGACATTTGAAAAAGCTGGACTTACGTTCGCTGCAAAGAAATGCCACATAGCATGTAGAGAATTGGACATGTATGGGTATGTAGTAAGTAGGGAAGGAATAAAAGTGGATAAGAAAGGAATAAAAAGGATACAAGAATGGCCAGAACCGAAGAACCAAACCGAAGTAAGGTCATTTCACGGGGCTGTAGGGTACTATCGACGTTTCATAAAGAATTTCAGCGAAATTGCAAGGCCAATAACTGATTTAATGAAAAAGGACAGTGTGTTCGTTTGGGAAATGAGACAAAAAGAATCGTTTAATAAATTGAAGGAGGTATTGTTAAAGAAAGTGGTGTTAAAAGGACCCAATTGGGAATATGCCAAAAACGGTGAAAGACCATACTAGCTGTACACCGACGCGTGTGAAGTTTCGATTGGCGCAGTGTTGGAACAAGCCGATGATAAAGGCAATTTGAGGCCAATAATGTTCGAATCAAGAAAGCTGAATAGGCACGAGTTGAATTACACCGTGACGAAAAAGGAATGCCTGGCGATAGTATTTGGGTGCAACAGTAATGAATGTTACGTTGGTGGGATAAAGTTCGATGTGTGGGTAGACCACCAGGCGCTTGAGTGGCTGTTTAATAAAGCTGAGCTTAAGGGAAGGTTAATGCGTTGGGTATTGGCCCTACAAGCATTTGAATTTATTGTCTGTTATAAAAATGGAAAAAGGCATGGCAATGCCGATGGAATATCGAGATACCCGGTGGACTGTATGGATGAAAGAAAGAATGATGATGAGTTTGTTGATGGAAAAATAATGAGTGTAAGAAAGTTTGATA